GGGGGAAGGGGAAAGAGATTACTAGAAAAAAGAAATCACCCATACCTACCACCCAGGCATAATTGCTGTTAACATGTTGACAGAGCATGTTCCAGTTATTTAATTCTCTGTGTAGGTTTTGTTTTCTGGTTTTAATTTAAGTTAGTTTTCTTTTAAAAATATCATCATAATTAAATTTTATAGCATTTTATATATTGCTTTTTTTCACTTAACATTTTATTGTAATTTACCTTTTGTAAATTTTTTTGTTAATACTCTATGAGTGAATATACCATGGTCTGTGTGACTACTCACCTATGGTTAGACATTTAAGGAAGTTTTTACCACTATAACATTTCTCTAAATATATTTGTGCAAAAGATTTTTCACCTTATTTTCTTACATTGTAATTTCCCAAAGTGGAATTTTGTTTAGTCCCAAAGTAGACTAATTTTTGATGCCTTTAAACCATGTGTGATATTTGTAAACGATCTATTTTAGTCATGGCTTTATACTGTTCCCATATTGCAGAGGCTTTAAAAAGCTAGAATATTGTGCTGAGGGGAAATTCAGTTTATTTACTGGAAATCTATAACTCTATCCTGCAAATGTCATCTTCTAACACTTTTCGTTTGAGTTTATTATAGTTAATACCTACAAGTCAGTGCTCACATTTTTGAAGGCTTAACTTGCTTTTTTCTTTCTTTAGGAAGTTCAGACTGATGGTGACAACCAGTTTGTATCACAAGGAAGAACAATTCCTGTGGACTGTACTGATGATGTTCTAAGGAATTCCTTCAGTACTAGTCTTGGAGTTCCATGTAGCCTGCCCCAAACTGACAAACCAGCTACTCCAACATTTCAGCAGCAGGGTCTTGCTAATGGAATTCTGCCACAACAAAGAATTCCTAAGGAACCGGACCTACTAAAGTGTTTCCAAACATACACGAAACTGTTGGGTTCTCATCCAGACAGTCAGACTTGCTGCAGCCCCACCCTATTACAGCCAGATTTCTTGGCTATTAATGAAGAAAAATATGTTAAAGAACAAATTGGAGAGGTCAGAAGTGAAAGAAAGGATTTAAACTTACCCGTGCAAGATACAAGAATAAAGGATGTGCAGAATGCAAAAAATGTGGACCAGAGTGCTGAAAAAGTTAGAACTATCAAGTATTTGTTGGGAGAGCTCAAGGCCCTGGTAGCAGAACAAGGTAGATAAAGACTTTCTTTATAATTTTCTGTGGCACATCATTTATTTTATTTTTTTTTAATTTTAGCATTCATTAATTAATTTTTTAATTATTTTTTATGGCTGTGTTGGCTCTTTCGTTGCTGTGCACGGGCTTCCTCTAGTTGGTGTGAGCAGGGGCTACTCTTTGTTGCAGCGTGTGGGCTTCTCACTGTGGTGGCTTCTCGTTGTGGAGCACGGGCTCTAGGCACATGGGCTTCAGTAGTTGTGCTCATTCTCAGTAGTTGTGGCATGGGCCGTAGAGTGTAGGCTCAGTAGTTGTGGCACATGGGCTTAGTTGCTCTGCTGCATGTGGAATCTTCCCGGACCAGGGATCAAACCATGTCCCCTGCATTGGCAGGCAGATTCCTAACCACTGCACCACCAGGGAAGTCCCTGTGACATGTCATTTAAATTCAGAATAACTGACATGGAGTTTGTGATATTTTCCATAGAAATATGTCTTATGCTAATGAGGAAATGAATTTTGTCTGTTTTATTCTTATTTTTTAGGTTTTGCTCCTCTTGCTTCCTGTGGATTTGAAATGTGCTAGGGAATATCAAACAGTCTTTTACTTGAAAGTGTGTATTCATTCTGCTTGATTCAAAGGACCTTGAAAAGATTCAACCAGTTATAGAGATAAACTTTAAGGGGTTAGAGGACCCTAAACATGATTAACTCCCTAGAATAGAATGATAATTTTCTTCCTATTTTAAAAAGGTGCAGAAAATTTCCTCTCATCATTTCTTTAATAACCAACTGTTATAATGTTTAACAAATCTCACTTTGAGAAGGAACCGAAAACTTTTTATGCCCTTTTAAATTCACTCTTGGGATTTTTTAATTAAATCAAGAAAAATGTCTTGGGTGGAGTTAAGAGACATTTGAGCCAGGTCATATTCATATGTTTTCATTATGGGTATATATGCTAAATAATGGCTTTCATTTGGAGTGAGTTACAGATTTGTCATCTAGAAAACACAGTAATTAATTGTGGAAGGACTGATTGAATACCTAATATTTGCAGGCTGACAAAAAAAGTACCAAATGTTAAAATTTACCTAAAGGATTGTAGCACTGTTGATCCAGTGGTTTAATATATTAACATCTCGTGTTTTTAGACTTTAAGTTTATTACTATTTTCTTAACCAAATACTTAATCATTGGTAACAATAATAATAGTAACAATATCATTTACTGAGCGCTTACCATGTGCCCAGCACTGTGCTAAGTGTTTTATATGCATTATCTCGTTTAATCCTCACAGCAACACTATGAGGTACTGTTATTGTCCCCATTTTACAGATGAGGAAACTGAGGCTTGCAGAACAGTATTTCATTTAATCCTCTCAGCAGCCCCATGAGGTACTGTTGTTATCTCCATTTAACTATGAAGAAACCTAGGCTTCAACAGTTAAGTAATTTGACTAAGGTACATTGCTAGAAAATGGTGGAGCCCAGGTCTCGGCCTCCAATGCTTACAAGTAAAACCCCTCTATGGAGGATTGGTAGAAGTCTGCTCTGTAATTGGGCACAGTTGTTTACTGTGTGTGTGTAAACATTCCATTAGGGTGTTAAAATACTCATGGAGTTGAGTAAATTTTTGTAACTAGAATACACTTTACCTCTTTTGGATATCAGACAGTTAATATTATATTTATCAAATGTTTTCAGTTCACAGAAAATTTGAATAGAAATGAGGGGACAAAAATAAAAGGACAAAAGATCTAAAATCTACCTTCTACCTGTGGCTGTTTGCCACCTCCCAAACCATCCACTCCACAATTAATAACAAAAATGGTAACTGCTTTTGATGCTACATCAAATGAAGTGTAGCTGATTGTGTTAACCTACTTTATAAAATTAAATAATAAAATCTTATCTTAGTAGACCTTTCCTCAATGTGTTGCCAAATTGAATCACCTAAAGTGAGTTATTTGTTTATGCCAGGATCAAAGGTTGTATTATAAATGTTAATACTGTAATTAATTATAGGAAACCCTTTAGCAATTATAGGTGTCTAATATAGTCTTTTGGTAAATGTGAACTAGGAGATATATATAAACCATCTTCCTACTAGACACTTTAACTGAAAAAATTACTGATTTAATAATTCTGTGACTTAAGATTAATCTTTAGTTTACTGAACTTAATGTCTTTAGAATTCTTTTCAGTAAGGAAATGCAGGTGGCAGGAAAGAGGAAAATAGGATTTGTATAATAAATTCATAAATAACTGAGTTGAGTTTGTTTATAGCATGTATGTATATTTCTGAAAATATTTTCTTTTTTAGTAATACATATGAATAATCTTATCCAAAAATAATTTATAATATTGTCTTTACTCATTTCTTCTGCCTTTTATAGAAGATTCAGAAATTCAGAGGTTGATTACAGAACTGGAGTTATATATATCTCTGCTTCCAACAGTAAGTGGAAACACAAATATTCAGGTTGAAATAGCACTGGCCATGCAACCACTAAGAAGTGAAAATGCTCATTTACGCAGGTAAGAATTGCTCTTTGAATTTTTTTGTCTCCATGCAAAGATGTCCCGTGGCCAGAACAAAAGTGCCTAATGATATATCTAGGGCTTCATAAGGAAAATAGATATATGCTGTCTTAGTGTGTTTCTACTTTTTTTTCCCTATTTTCCAAATATTCCTGGCATTTTCTAACTCTTCCATTACTTCTGCCCACTAGTACATATTTTTTTACATCTGTTATCACTTGGTTGGTAGTGAATGGAGAGGAAAATGAACTACCTCAGGGTATTAATCAGGCCAGTCTAGGCCATACAGTAACAAACTCCAAAATCTCAATGGCATAGCACAGCAGAAGTTTATTTCTCCCTCACACCAAGACCAGCATGGGTCATCTGAGGCTATCCTGTGACTCAGGATTTAGGTTCCCTCTGTCTTAGCATCTGCTGTCTCAGTATATGTTTTTTAGGAAAAAGAGAACATGGATATGGCAAACCAACTCTTACATGCCCTGGCCCAGAAGTATGATAGTCTCACTTCTTCTTGTATTTTATAGGCTAAAATGAGGAATATGGCCCTGCTTAATATAAAGATCTGGGACATGAAATTTTCTCATACTTCCATATACTCCAAAGGAAAGGAGAACCTAATATGGGTGAGCACCAGTCCCCCCACTACATTCAGACATAGGAAAAAACTCATTTAAATTCTTAGATAATTTTTCTTTTGGCTATCTTAACTTATGTTGATATTATGGCCTTAATTTGTTTAGAAAAGATATAAACCAGGTATCTAATCTTGAAATACAGAAATCACTTACATGTTATCAATAATATCTTAACTTTGAACATTTCGGTGGTGATCACCAAGGCCCCTGCTCCAGTGTCTATCATTACACTTTGCAGAGGATTGGAGGACACTTTCAGGTGCTTCTGCAGCATGGCAGTGTGTGAGTGTGCCCTGAGAGGGCATTATAGTTGCGTGAGATATAGACATTGTACCAGATGGTAACTGCAAGAACCTGCATAATTTTAAAAAACTGGAAAGCAACAAAATTGGATTGCTAGTTGGAGGATAGCTTAAATTCATGGATCTGGAGCCTGCAAAGGCACGACACCTAGTGAGATTTACTCGTCTAGGATTATTTCTCTAAAGATCATTAGTCTTTAGATACTGTGGTATATGGTGGGGTTTCTGGTTTAAATTCTAATAATACTGTCTTTAGTCCTGACCTAAGGGATCCCTATAATAGCATTAGTTTTTCAAAAGCAAGACCAAGTATAAATAATAATAATGGTAATAGCCAATACTACTACTAACATTTATTGAATGTTTCTTATGTGCCAGGCCATAAGACATAATATAATATGTGCCATATATTATCCTTTATGTGTCATCTCTTTAAATTCTTACAGCAGCTCTATGAAGTAGGTATCATGTTATTCTTATTCAGATGAGGAAACCAAGGCACAGAGAGGTTATATAACTTAACCCAAGGTCACATACCTAAGATGTAACAGAGACAAGACTCAAACCTGAGCAGTTTGATTTTAGAGTGCATTGATCTTAATTTCTACGCTTCTGCATTGCTTCTGCTAGGAAGTAGAGACTAACTTATTTATGCTTCAGTATTTATGTGTATTTTGTGGAATAAAAGAACATACTATAACCCATTTAAAATAAACACATATGTTCTTAAAGGTATGACTATCAAATAATTAGTTTCTTAAACAAGCATACTAAAACTTAGTCTCCAGATATTATCTATTTTAACATTGTGACCATGGGAAATATCAGTAGTTGTTATTTATTTATATTCCTTAGAACATTTTAAAATTGCTTTAGGAGCTAATTTATAAGCCACTTAAGAAAATGAGACTTAATACTTTATTGGTCACTGCTTGTTGTTAATTTTTTTTAAAGGTATTAGTTTAATGTTTCACCTAATTCTTCAGACTTCGCATCAAAGCATTTTTGGCTATGTCCTTAGAGGACAAAGATTAAATAGCATGCTACTGCCATTGTTTACCTGACCTTCTAAAATTGAAATTATTGAAAAATGAGGAATTTGTCAGGTACTCTTTTTAGCAGAATGAGATTTCCAGCACAAGTATAGGAATTTTTTTGCCTCTTTGGTAATCTTTATTTGGAAAGAAACATCCATAATCTCCATTACAAATGAAAGTTGGAATGCATAGACTTATTCAAAAGTGTTTTTCAGCTTTTTCAATCAAAAACTTTTTTTTCTTTCTTTTTTGGGCATTTTGAAACTTCCTGTTCCTTTATGGCCAGAAAACTAATCTTTCAGGACTTTCTTGGTGTTTATTGCCATCTTGTGGCTTAAAAAAAAATAGCTAGGTGCATTATTTCTTTGGCATTTGGGTCTGGGCAGTTTTTATTTGAGACTCCTGACACAGTGCTCAACACTTAGCCTTCCTGGGCCCTACCCATAAAATGTCTGTAGTGCCCTATTCACTGTGACCACCAAAAGGCCTGGCACGTTCCAAACTTTCCTGGATGAGGGCTGTGGGGGTTCCAGTTCACCTAGAGAGGGACTTTAATATTCAAAGGGCAACTTAGAATTCATGACCATTTCCTGATATTAGACTCAAATATGAGACCGTTGTGTACCCACACAGAACAAAAGCTGAAGTGGACATCAGTGGGAGGAGCTGGAGTGTGGTCTTTTGGCCTGATAATTTGACATATGATAACATAATTCTTCCAGATGGAAGTTACTAGAGGAAGAATAGATAGTTTGCTTTTATTTCACTTTTTTTTTAGCTTTTTATTTAGTTTTTGAATTTTTGAATTTTATTTTATTTATTTTTTTATACAGCAGGTTCTTATTAGTTATCTACTTTATACATATTAGTGTATATATGTCAATCCCAGTATCCCAATTCATCACACCACAACCACCACCCCCTGCCCCTTTCCCCCCTTGGTGTCCATACGTTTGTGCTCTACATCTGTGTCTCGATTTCTGCCCTGCAAACCAGTTCATCTGTACCATTTTTCTAGGTTCCACATATATGCATTAATATACGATATTTGTTTTTTGCTTTCTGACTTACTTCACTCTGTATGAGTCTCTAGATCCATCCATGTCTCTACACATGACCCAATTTCGTTCCTCTTTATGGCTGAGTAGTATTCCATTGTATATATATACCACATCTTCTTTATCCATTTGTCTGTCAATGGGCATTTAGGTTGCTTCCATGTCCTGGCTATTGTAAATAGTGCTGCAAGGAACATTGGGGTGTATGTCTCTGTTTGATTTCTGTTTCTCTCTGGGTATGTGCCCAGTAGTGGGATTGCTGGGTCATATGGTAATTCTGTTTTTAGTTTTTTTGTTTGTTTGTTTGTTTGTTTTTGCGGTACGCGGATCTCTCACTGTGGTGGCCTCTGGCCTCTTCCGTTACGGAGCACAGGTTCCGGACGCGTAGGCTCAGCGACCATGGCTCACGGGCCTAGCCGTTCCGCAGCATGTGGGATCTTCCTGGACCAGGGCACAAACCTGTGTCCCCTGCATCGGCAGGCAGACTTCAACCACTGTGCCACCAGGGAAGCCCTATTTTTAGTTTTTAAGGAAACTCCATACCGTTCTCCATAGTAGCTGTATCAATTTACATTCCTATCAACAGTGCAAGAGGGTTCCCTTTTCTCCACACCCTCTCCACCATTTCTTGCTTGCAGATTTTCTGATGATGCCCATTCTAACTGGTGTGAGGTGATACATCATTGTAGTTTTGATTTGCATTTCTCTAATAATTAGTGATGTTGAGCAGCTTTTCATGTGCTTCTTGGCCATCTGTATGTCTTCTTTGGAGAAATGTCTATTTACATCTTCTGCCCATTTTTGGATTGGGTTGTTTGTTTCTTTAATATTGAGCTGCATGAGCTGTTTATATATTTTGGAGATTAATACTTTGTCCATTGATTCGTTTGCAAATATTTTCTCCCATTCTGAGGGTTGTCTTTTCGTCTTGTTTGTAGTTTCCTTTGCTTTTCAAAAGCTTTTAAGTTTCATTAGGTCCCATTTGTTTATTTTTATTTCCATTACTCTAGGAGGTGGATCAAAAAAGATCTTGCTGTGATTTATGTCAAAGAGTGTTCTTCCTATGTTTTCCTCTGAGAGTTTTATAGAGTCCGGTATTACATTTAGGTCTCTAATCCATTTTGAGTTTATTTTTGTGTATGGTGTTAGAGAGTGTTCTAATTTCATTCTTTTACATGTAGCTGTCCAGTTTTCCCAGCACCACTTATTGAAGAGACTGTCTTTTCTCCATGGTATATCCTTGCCTCCTTTGTCATAGATTAGTTGACCATAGGTACGTGGCTTTATCTCTGGGCTTTCTATCCTATTCCATTGATCTATATTTCTGTTTTGGTGCCAGTACTATATTGTCTTGATTATTGTAGCTTTGTAGTATAGTCTGAAGTCAGGGAGTCGGATTCCTCCAGCTCCCTTTTTTTCCATCAAGACCGCTTTTGCTATTTGGGGTCTTCTGTCTACAGAATGTGTCTACATTACAAATTTTAAGATTTTTTGTTCTAGTTCTGTAAAAAATGCCCCAGGTAATTTGATAGGGATTGCATTGAATCTGTAGATTGCTTTGGGTAGTATAGTCATTTTCACAATATTGATTCTTCCAATCCAAGAACATGGTATATCTCTTCATCTGTGTCATCTTTGATTTCTTTCAGCAGTGTCTTATAGTTTTCTGAGTATAGGTCTTTTACCACCTTAGGTAGGTTTATTCCTAGGTATTCTTTTTGTTGTAGTGGTGAATGGGATTGTTTCCTTAATTTCTCTTTCTGATCTTTCGTTGTTAGTGTATAGTAATGCAAGAGATTTCTGTGCATTAATTTTGTGTCCTGCAACTTTACCAAATTCATTGATCCGCTCTAGTAGTTTTCTGGTGGCATCTTTAGGATTCTCTATGTATAGTATCATGTCATCTGCAAACAGTGACAGTTTGACTTCTTCTTTTGTATTTGTATTCCTTTTATTTCTTTT